TAGCCCTTGCTCACCAGCTAAACCTAAACTCCTACTTTAACCAACCAAAAATCCTTCAACTGTCAATCTTCTGTTTGTGCTCTGTAGACAAAATGCAATTCGAGACTTCGCCACTAGAGAGTGCTCAAATCCACCACAAACTGGGGAAACACAAAACAGATTGACTAGAATGTCGTTAGTTCACCACTAGCACATGTTTTTGCTTAACTTCTTTTCCACTTCAGCTCTCGGACAGTTTTTTCTCTCATGATTCACTGGCTCAGAGCATTTATATCCATCTTCAGAGATATTAATTCTATTCTACATTTCACTCTGCTAATGCTTGCATTTGCTACATGTTAATTGCAGGCATCCAACATTACATATTTTCAGATTGCTTACTGTATTTTATTGTTTTGCAACCGTTTCCACTGTGGCATGGATGTGGTAGGCTGTATTAAAATTGCCTTTGTCTATTATGCCCATTAACACAACTCCTCCATTGTCTGTTTTCACCTATGTTTTCACTCACCTGAGTACTGTTTATGTAAAACATCTCCCTCCTTCAGTTCAGCAACTTGTACTTACAAAGAAGGCTTTCTCCTTTGGTGAAACATTTATCCAAAAGCAAACAGATGTTATGCCTGCCTTCACACAGCTTGTCACTCAGTTATTTCTTATAAGTGTTGTCATAGCCTAGATTTACCCCCTGGTGCCTCGAAAGGGAGAACCAGTTGAGGTGCAATTCTTCTTTTAAAAAATCGGTTTTAACGACAGCCACTTGTTTTTGCCTTCAAGACACCACGCCCTTTCTTTTATATGACAGAAATGCAGACAATGCGCATGAAGAGTACAACCAGAATTATACTGCTGAAAACTCATGCCTCAAGCCAGCAACAACAGGTCACCAATGGCTAGCTGCTGGTTTGGGCTTGTTTGTGGTTGTTGCACTCTTAGACGAATGAAAGTGATTGAAACGCATTCCAGGAATCATCAGTATTATGAAACAGAAGAAAGCCCTCAAGGAGAATTTTGTGTATTATCTATCTGTGTCTTGTCCATGCCCATTTTACTTAAAGGATTAGTTCACTTTTGAAAAAACTTTTGCTGATTATTTACTCACCCCCATGTCATCCAAGATGTCAATGTCTTTCTTTCCTCAGTCGAAAAGAAATTTAGGTTTTTGATGAAAACATTCCAGGATTTTTCTCCATATAATGGACTTCAATGGGAACCGGATGGTTCAAGGGCCAAAAGTGTTAACAGTTTCAGATGCAGCTTCAAATGTCTTTAAACGACACCAAACGATGAATAAGGGTCTAATCGTGCGAAACGATCGGTTATTTCAAAACTTATTCCAAAAATGTAACTTTTCTAAGGACAAATGCTAGCCTTGCTATATTCTCTGAGGCGCGTTTGTAACGTCACGTAATACATAATTACGTTCAAAAGGTCACGGGCGACGTAGCCGGAAGTACAGAATCAAAATCGTCCGACATCGCTGTTTTTCCTTTTAATTCCTTTTTTTGTAAACGGTGTTTGAGCTAGTTTGCACGTTCAACCTATGCGTTCAACTTGTAAACACTGACTCTGTACTTTCGGCTACGTCGCCCGTGACCTTTTGAACGTAATTACGTATTACGTGACGTTGCAAACGCGCCTCACAGAATAGAGCAAGGCTAGCATTTGTCCTTAGAAAAGTTACATTTTTGGAATAAGTTTTGAAATAACCGATCGTTTCGCATGATAAGACCCTTATTCATCGTTTGGTGTCGTTTAAAGACATTTGAAGCTGCATCTGAAACAGTTATTAACTGTCTTTTGGACCTTGAACCATCCGGTTCCCATTGAAGTCCATTATATGGAGAAAAATCCTGGAATGTTTTCATCAAAAACCTAAATTTCTTTTCGACTGAGGAAAGAAAGACATGGACATCTTGGATGACATGAGGGTGAGTAAATTATCAGCAAAAGTTTTTTCAAAAGTGAACTAATCCTTTAATGTTATAGTCCCCTCTGTGGATTATTTAGAAGCACAGTGAATTTACTATCAATTATTAATATAACTATTGTTCATCAATAATGAATTAATATATTCTTCCAGAATAAAATAAGTCAAATTATATGTTATAATTTTATTAATTAATTAGTTTTACAGGCTGTGTGTGTATTTGCTGAGAGGTGACTGAGTGTCTGATACTGTATGTCAGGACTACAGTATTTACTTCTTAATGGTGTCTGCCAGATAATAGATTTGCAGTTATGTTGTACTTTGTTTATTGATTTTTTTGTGTAATCATGTTTAATCAGTAATTCCAGAGAAAATTAACCGACTTAACCGAGAATTCCTTACCGACTACAAATCAATAATGTATATGTTGTTACATAGGTTTCTTTGTAGACTATTGTGAATGTTGATAATGTGGCAGTTAGTCCCTGCTGCTATGCATAGTCTTGCATTGTGCTGCCAATAACTTGCAATTTTCCTGTAAAATGCAATTTTTGTTTCTCATAATTTCTCATTTTGTCATATGTCTAGACTGGCACATCTGATCACATACAGTTTGCATACAAGTTGTTTGTTGAGTTCAGCTCGAGTTCCTATACAGAGTCTGTCTGACCACAGTAGAGATTCCTCCTCGCTAGCAAAAGTAACAGTTATTCCACATTTATATCTAATCTTACAAACGAGTGCCACGTCTACTACTGTCTGTCTACACGGCAAACACCCGGTATCTTTTTTTTTTCATTGCCATGACAAGCCGCTCACAATCACTCTACTAGTGCAGTAAGTTTTCTCTCACCTATAAAAAAAGACTGTAAAAAGAAAAACTTAACCTGCATTAGCAGAGGAGAACTGAAATGTGTCTTCAGCGGCATGTGACCTTCAGAAAAAGGGGAACAAAAGATTTAGACATTTTTATGACAAAAGTACATAGACCTCTCCCCTATAAATTACACTCAGCAACAACAAGACCATGATACACGTACATGATGAATATAAATATCAAATATTACCTTAAAGGAGTAGTTCACTTTTATAAAAACTTTTGCTGATAATTTACTCACCCCCATGTCATCCAAGATGTCCATATCTTTCTTTCTTCAGTCGAAAAGAAATTAAGGTTTTTGATGAAAACATTCCAGGATTTTTCTCCATATAATGGACTTCAATGGGGACCAAACAGTTCAAGGTCCAAATGAGAGTTTCAGTGCAGCTTCAAAGGGCTTTAAACGACACCATACGATGAATAAGGGTCTTATCTAGCGAAACGATCGTTGAATCAATCAACCAAAAGACTCAAAAAAAGATTTGTTCATTTTGATGAACGAGTTCGAACAGGAGAGTCACGAACGCGCATCACAGAACAGAGCAAGGCGACCATTTGAGCTTAAAAAACGTAAACTTTTTTTTTTTGTTAAATGACAGATCGTTTCGCTTGATAAGACCCTTATTCATCGTCTGGAATCGTTTAAAGCCCTTTGAAGCTGCACTGAAACTCTCGTTTGGACCTTGAACCGTTTGGTCCCCATTGAAGTCCATTATATGGAGAAAATCCTGGAATGTTTTGATCAAAAACCTTAATTTCTTTTCGACCGAAGAAAGAAAGAAGTGGACATCTTGGATGACATGGGGGTGAGTAAATTATCAGCAAAAGTTTTTTTTAAAGTGAACTACTCCTTTAAAGGCCATAACTTAGGTATACCCTTTATTTCAATGGTGCCCTTTAGACGTTCTGTTGACTATAAATAACGCTTACCTACATCAACTATAACTCTCATTGGAGTATTCGTAGACTGTCCGGGTTAGTAGAATAAGGGTTGTGGATTGGTAGAAAGGGGAAGCTGTTATATTTAAAGGGAAAGTCTGTCTACTAATGAAAATGTCGTCAGCGTTTACTCACTCTCATGTTGTTGCAAATGTTTATGCATTTCTTTCTCCTGCTGAACTCAAAAGTTGATATTTTAAACAATGTTGGTAACCAAACAGTTTCACTTCCCATTAACTTTCATTACATTGTTTGTCTATATGATATTTTCATGATTTGTTATCACAACACTTTTTCTTTTGTCAAATCAACTTAAATAATTTATGTAGTTCAGATAACATAATATTTTGAGTTTCAGGTGATTCAATCAATCTCCTTCATTGTATTAACTCAATTTTTCCATTTCAATGATCTTAAAATTTGAATGCAACCAGGTACCTTAATTTAAGTTAAACCAACAGTGTAGGAACCAAAACTCCTTGGTTACCAACATTCTTGATATCTTCTTTAAAGTCACAGTTAAAGGGTTGGCTGCGATTAGACTGTAACTTAGTCAGAAATATGCACCCAGCAGTTGAAAGTCTTGGACTGTTATCTTTACAAGTTGGATGGATCAACCCATTTTGCCTTTTGATTCTGGAAAAGTACAACAACCAACCAATGGAGTGTTTGTATGGAGGCGGCTCGAGGGGAAATCGGACTGGTTTTTATAATGAGTTTAAAGGGTAATTATTTTTGCATTTGTTGATAGTGGGGACAGGCTCAAGTCAGCAATTAATGATCCATTCTAAGAGGGTGGATATAGAACTAAAGCTGTCAAATATCATAAGTGAACACTCATATACTGGTTATGCACTCATGAAATGTTATACACTTTATTTTGTACAGTTATAGGATTTTTGATTCTTAAAAACTGACGTGATATTTTTGTCTGGTCTTTGATTAGTTTTCTCTGATTGGCTGATCCTGGATCTACTGCTTCTGTGCTCTTATATCAATTACGTATGCAAAGAAAAAGTATAGATTTGATTATTTTTTTTTTTTTAGCTTGTTTAGATTTCACCCAAAAAAACGTGTTTTGAAGTATTCTAAGCATTTCCCCTTTGCTCAGGGATCTAAGTGAAGCAGTTAATGTATAACTGTACGATTGTCCTTTTGACGTTCAACCCCATAATTCTCCATTCATATCTTGAAAATAGTTTTTTGACCAATAAGCTGGTCTTGAGCCACTCCCCGCACTCCATATAAGAGTTTGAGGGCACGCCTGTCATCCCACCACTCCGACCCCTCAACTCTCCGTCCTCTCCAACTGACTTCTGTGTTGTCCAGAGATGCTGCACACGAAGAAAACCGTGCAGTCTTTCAGCAGTCAATCCTCAGCGAGTGTGAGGAGCAACAGGCGGACCCCCCTCGCCCGTTCAGGGATGGTTTCGAGGGAAGGTTGGGGCTCCAGTCCTGTTCTCTGCCCTCCAATTACAGCTGTAAAGGTCAATGAAAGTCTTCTGGCACCTCTGAACCTGGGGATTGACCCAAACATCCAGGCCATTAGGACTGACGAGAAAGAGCAAATCAAGACGCTCAACAACCGTTTTGCTTCATTTATTGACAAAGTAAGTTACTTCCTTCATCTTGTCTTCATTTTGACCTTTTGCATGGACCTTTTGTATTTTCACTTCTAACCGAATCCATGTGCATGTGTGTGGTTCATATGCTGGTGTGAGGAAGTATGTGGTTGTGATAATACGTCAGTAATAGTAGGTCCGGTCCTATCAGTGTCATATATTATCAGGACCCCCAATTTACTGACTTACCTGAAGGGGCAATGTCCATTCTCTGCCATAAACACACCTTTGTCATTTTTTGGGGCAATATCAGTTTACTATCAGGTGCAACGGCCGCTCCCTTACATGCCTTTATTGAAAACACACACACACCTATCTGTGCACACTTCTTTAAACTCATATAATCTGTGAGGTATAAAGGACAGAGAGACATGCACTTAGGCTGCATTTAACATTTCATTTGAAACTCTGCATGACTATTTAAATGAATTAAAAAAAAAAAAAATTGATTGCCAAAAAAAAATATATTTTTTTTCTTAAATAGTGACCAGTTACACTAGCTATCTAAAAATAAATCCATATACATAGACTTAAGTAAAGATAAAAATATGTTCACATATGTTGTAACCACAACATTTTTTCTTTAGTCAAATCAACTTAAATAATTTATGTGGTTCAGATAACATAATATTTTGAGTTTCTGATGATTAAATCATTCTCCTTCATTGTATAAACTCAATTTTTTCATTTTAATGAACTTAAAATTTTAAGGCAACCAGGTTACTTAATTTTTTAAGTTAAACCAACAATATTTTTTACAATGCTATACAGTGTACAGAGAAGCACAGTGAGTTGAATGGATTTTACTTTTGTTTAACATAATTGTTCAGCTGAGGAAACACTCATGGATATAAACTCCATAAAACAGTTCTGATAGTCATAGGATATAAAAATGGCATTTTTTCATGTAGGTTTGTGCCATTGGAATGACTACGTTTTTCACACACAGCCTTGATGTCATTCGTGTTAAATTCAACACACCCTGACAAAGGTTTATACAAATTTTAATTTAAATCTTGAAGTTTTTTTTAAAAAAAAGTTAATGTCCATGTCATTTGTCAACTACCAATAAGCATGTGTTATATTTTATCATGAAACCTGTAAATTCACTTTCTTCTTGTCTTTCCCCAGGTGCGCTTCCTGGAACAGCAGAACAAGATGCTGGAGACTAAGTGGAGTCTCCTACAGGAACAGACCAGCCGCCAATCCAGCATTGATCGTATGTTTGAGGGCTACATTGCTAACCTGCGCAGACAGCTGGATGGTATGGCTAATGAGAAGCTGCGTCTGGAGTCTGGGCTGCAGGACATGACCAGCCTGGTAGAAAGCTTCAAGACCAAGTGAGAGCATTGGAAACATCTGCACCAATCTTGTGTTTTTGTACATTAAAGTGTTTAAATATACGAACTTTGTACATTTGTCCTCAGGTATGAAGATGAAATTAACAAACGGAATGATTCTGACAATGAATTTGTGCTGCTTAAAAAGGTCAGCACAAAATAAGTGCTCACAGATCAAATACTTTTACCCCTGGTTTCACAGACAAGGCTTACTGGGTTGTTTTAACCCAAGTTTGGGTCAAATATGGACAAACCCAGCCATAGGGTTACATATTTTTTTTATTACATTTTTAACCCAATGTTTGGGTATGTCCATATTTGACCCAAAGTTGGGTTAAAACAACCCAGCATTTTTAGAGTGTAGCCAGACTAAAATCCATGTTTGAGCTGTTTTAACTGAAAGCAACTTGCACTGACAAATCTTAAAATATGTCTATGCCATTGTTTTGTCTCAAGATTTACACCAGTAAATTTTTTTTCTAAGGCACGTTTATAAAAGCGACTTTAATGCCTTAATTGAATTAAGGCTCTAAGCCTTGTCTGTGAAACCAGGTCATAAAAATTTGACTTGTTTGAAAACTAAACCATGATTCTATATTTAGAAATATATTTTGTACTATTTTATGTTTATGTTAGGATGCTGATGATGCATACCTGAATAAAGTGGAGTTGGAAAGCAAATTGGATAGCCTAACAAATCAGATCAACTTCCTTTGGCAGATTTATGAGGCGGTAACATTCACTCCCTTCACATTTCTAATAAATCTTACAGTTACATAATCACTTTGCAGATAACTGATAGTAAAACAACTCATAAGAGCTTATAAAACGTATTGAGCGTAAGCAATGTAAACCAATGTAAAAAAAAATAGTGGTAAATGGACACATAAACAAGATTCAGACTGAGTGTTTTCAGTAATTCTTGTTCCATGTTTTTAGGAATTGCATGAGCTCCAGTCTCAGATCAAGGACACGTCAGTTGTTGTAGAGATGGATAACAGCAGAAACCTGGACATGGACTCCATTGTGGCTGAAGTTCGTGCTCAGTATGAGGACATTGCCAGCCGCACTCGTGCTGAAGCAGAGAGCTGGTATCAACAGAAGGTGAGTTAACATTCTTGCTTTGTGTGCATGTCACAAATCACACATTTTTAAACATGCTTATTTTATTGCATTGTAATATATGAGCTTTTCTAAATATGCTCTATTTTTTGTGTATGTGTCTGTGCATGAATGTTCATGTCTGCTATAAAACGTTAGTATGAAGAAATGCAGTTGACGGCAACCAAACATGGGGACGACCTGAAAAGCACAAAGGCTGAAATCGCTGAATACAACCGAATGATTGCACGTATACACTCTGAGATGGAACTTATAAAGGGACAGGTAAGAACTCTATTCAGGGCCAACTGTCAAAATGCCAGTAAACAATGCCCAGCATACTCAGAGCTTGATTATTTTTGGTGATATTTCACAACAAAGCAAAGGTAAAGCTATTCAAAGTGTATATGTGAGTTAATCTCAGATGCTCTCAATTAATCCCAGTTGATCTCAAGTCTCATGTGGGAAGGATGTAATCTTTTGTCTCCTCTTATTTTAGCATTCAAACTATGAGGTGCAGATCAAAGAGGCTGAAGAACGTGGTGAACTAGCTGTGAAAGATGCAAAACTCCGTCTGCAGGAGCTGGAAGCAGCTCTTCTGAGAGCTAAACAGGATATGGCTCGACAGGTGCGCGAATACCAATCATTGATGAACATCAAACTGGCTCTGGACATTGAGATCGCCACCTATCGAAAACTCCTGGAAGGAGAGGAGAGCAGGTGGGTGCAGCTTGCAGCTAATATGAATCTTTAGTGAATCACAATGGACTTATTGACGTCATGTACTTTTTGTGTGTTCCTTCACAGAATGTATGGTTCATTCCAGACTTTCTCCGTCTCTAAACCAAACTGTGAGTTTCTTTAGGCACATAAACCGTGTCTTTTATATGTATTTCACATCAGCTACCTACATACTGTATAAAATGCTGCATTTGAATGGCATTTGTGACTGTTTTATTTTATTTTTTCTTAGCTTTGAACTATGACTTTGAAAGCAGTCAATTCTCATCCCAAAGTGCTGGGAAAGATGTTCATAACACAGGCCTGGTTAAGAAGGAGGTCACTATTGCTAAGGGTGACAGCGCTAGCAGCTTCGACAGCAGCACTACCACTGTTACCAAAAGCACAAAGACCACCATCATCACCAGTGAGAACAAAATTGCAGCTATAGAGGGAAGAATGCAAGTGATGGATATGTCTGCAGGCAAACTAGAGGAGGATGTTTTTGAATGAAGGAAGAACAGATGATTGTCGCGTGTACCCAGGATCAGATTTTTATAGGTTTGCCTCCACCCCCTCCCCTGGGCTCCATTAGCATGTCGAGTTTAGCATCTGTTTCTAAGGTGTGGCAGATCAAAATGAATTTCAGTTTTACAGTATATCATATTAGATATGTTGTATATTTTTAAGGCCCTACGACAAACTAATATATTCTCTTATTTCAAATTTGCTCCATATAACTAAAAATGACTTAATATTTGTCACTGTAAGCACATTAAAACAATTGGAAAAACATCCTTTGTGCACTTTTCTGATTACGATTATGGCCTGTATTCAAATAAAGTGAATGGAGCAAAAAATAAATAGGCCTAAGTACATTTTCGACCATGAGTTTTGAAGTCTTTATGCTTTATTTTATGTACTCTAGTCATAACACTGATGCAGCAAAAAAATAGACTTTTGTTCCAAATATGAAGAAAATGTACTCACATATAATATATGACTTTATATGGTCTGCTTGATTGCACAGTGATTGTGACATTCCTGAATTGACATCTTTGTTGATCTTGGAACAACATTCTAATCAATCATTCTGATTTGAGAGACAAGTTTACAGTTCATGTCAAGTTTAGGCTTACAGCCAGGGTTTGTTGTTTCTACATTAGTGTTATTCACCTATCATTTCATGGGTAAAGGTGTTTTGGAGTAGGATTTGGTTTATGACAGGAATTTTGTTCCAGAATCAACAAAATATGTTGATCCAGTAACATGTCTTGGCAAAACCTGGCGACACCTTGGCAGTCAGTTATGAAGTAGGCTAAAATACAAATGAAGTGGTCAAGATTGTATCTATCCCTTCAATTGATTTCTCTATAGGAAACACCTATGATGCAACGCAATAAAACTAATTTCTTTGAGCTTTCACACGTCTGCAGTTCAGCAATTTACTTTGAAAGTGAACCTTGATGGCACTTCCATTCTTAACCAACAGGAGGGGTTGTGCACAGAAAAAAAGTGTTTTTAACTTTAAAAATGTATAAAGTAAAAAAAAAAAGATTATCTCAAGACATTTCAATCAATTGCTTACTCTTTTAACAAAAAAATGCTTTTGCACAGACTAATATGGGTGATTATATTAAAGAAAATGTGATATCCTCCTGGTAATAACTGCATTTATGACAGCTATAGCGCATCCTTCCCTTTTAGCTAACATTGCCAGGTTTGCGGTCTTATAAGGGAATTTAGACTCCACACACCTGATGTAAAAGTCAAACTGCTCAGACCCGACTAACCTACTCCTTCACAATAATTTTTGCACTATTGAATTATTTTAGAAATAAGCAATAGCTTTTACAAATCTATTAAATTATTATACTTGTAATAGGCCCAGTCTATTATGTCTATAGGCTATGCACCCATGATGTAGGCCTATTAAACAAAAGAAACTGGCAATAGCCCTATTTGGACGGTTAGAGAAATTTGTGTTTAGACGTAGGCCTACTTTTGCGATTTTAATCCCGTCCTAATCTGCTAAATTTGTGTTTTTTTCTCTCACACAACCTTTATAAAAATTCCAGGGGAAACGCTTCTCCTCATGCGTTTTGACCTACCTGAGCTACCGTCTGCGCACCAATCTTCGACAATGGTTTATATGATATGGATGGTATCCGACGAAAACAACATATATAATTAATAAATAGAGCCAAATCGCGGAAACTTCGAATAGCCGACTGCCCACTTTTATAGGCTATGTCAGGTAAGAGCTACTCTTATAAGATAATACTTGCCTAGGTTTCTCTGGTCACTTATTTAAACAGCCACTGCTCTAAAAACTCGTTAATTTTTTTTTATTTAATAAATTAAAATAATATCAACAAATAAATTAAAAGAGATGACATGGCCTTATTCTGTCCTAACGTTACTTCTGCAGCCTAATAAACACGAAGATGTTAGTCACAGACGAAATCCCTGACGTTGAATGATAAGAATTGTAACTAGGGCTATTGTTAAAATTAAAAAGTAAAACCTGCCCTTGTGGTGATTAATTGTCCTTGGGGTGGGGACAAGTCTCAATAAGTTGCAATGAAATCTCACAAGTCTTGTCACAACATGCACAGAGCTATGTTGCTTTCATGTTTGTTTCATGTGCCCTCATTGACTCCAGCTGTGCAATTAAAAGTTATTATTGCGATGAGATAAAAAGCAGTTATTGTAATGTGGTTTGTTATACAATAATGAGCAGATAAGGTGAGATAAGAAAAATGTAGCAGAATACCAAACATAGCAAGCAACAGTTCAGTGGACGGTTGATTTTGGTGATTGATTTTGACATATGTCGGTCGTAGGTGTTTAACCTTACTTGAGTTGTACCACACCTTAAAAACACCAACCTAACCAGTCCACTCAGATCCCATCTACACCCCCCTACACCCCCCCCCCATTGCAACACATCCATCTTTATGCACTCTGACTTTTTGCTATCAAGAGCTGTAATCTGTTCTTGTTTCTCTTTGTTTGATCTTTCACTCCTCCCTTTTATTGATATATCATATTACTTTTTTTTATAATCTCCTGTCAAGTAATTAAACAACCTTCTCTCTTTCCTCACTCTCTCTATGTCAGTCTCTCTCTTTCTGTGCAGGCATCAACAGGCCGATACTTTCTTTGAGGATACCAACACAAACTCAAGGGATTACAGGGCTGATGCTCAGGTCAACCTTGCATAAACATCAGCACTTATTCTATCGCATATTGCTCCTTAAATTCATTTCCCATTTATGGATAAGAATTTGCAGTTTTTCTAAATTGCTAAAACACATCAACCACTTTCTCAAAACCTTAAACACAAAACCAAATCTTCAAACTATTGATAGAACATCTAGTCTTCTGGTAAAATTAAACAATTGCCTCAAAAACAGTTGGAGAACATAGACATACGTAAAAGAAATGGAGAATATAGCATCTAGAGCATGCAGTTGTAAAAAAATTTAAAAACAAATATAAAAAATATAAAAGGAGAGTGTAACAGTAAACAAAGTTTGCAATTAAATTGCAATTTTGCAAAAGCCAAAAATGTTTTCCAACACTAGTCCATCACAGTGCAATATGAGATTTCGTGAGCGATAATTCTTTGCACAAAAACCACCCAAACTTGTTTAAGGTTTTACACATTAAGCTTGCCCGGTAACTAACCTGTTACAGCACTAATTTTGTGATCAGTGATATGATTCCTGTGAAAAATGAGTCAAGGTTAAAGAGCTCAGAGACTTGTAGAAACAAGCTAAAATAGCATATGTGTGGGGAGAGTTTGATGTTGGAAAGTTATTTAGCCTACATATAACGCTATAGAGCATTAAACAATTAAAGACATTCATTTCCGATCTGCCATATTACAACAACAACTAACGTAATAAATTGTTTCAAGATTATCATTCATAATTATCACTGGACTGAGGACAAGGTTACGTGTTTGGGGGCTTGAGTGCCTCCGTTAACTCACAATGACCCCTGCAAGGTTTGCAAAAAAACATATGTATAGTTAGTAGTTACTTACGGTAGTTTAACATAGGCCTATTAGAGACACTTAAAATATAAATCATTTAGAACCAAAAACCTGCAAAGATTTACAGTAGGCTAATGTCTAATGTTTTTTTTTTATCATAAAGTGAAAGTGTGCTGTTTTTATCTTTTATCTATTATTTTATCTATGTCTATTATCTATTTCTTCATTAAATATTGCCATAACTCAATGTGGGCAGGTCTAGCCATATTGCATATACCACATTCCAAGTAGATTTGTGAGATACCGATCAAAACATTCTTAAAAATGTTTACATTTTCAAAAGGAACTCAATTGACACCTTGACTTCACTTTCGCATACACACACACAAACTGCATGAAATTGCAAAAGACGCATGCATATACGTGCAACTTGCACCAATATGCGAAAATGGAATGTGTTTGTATCTCTCTTTTACTTTTTATTTAGTGCCTACACACTAAAAGTGGTTCTTGAGACCCACTCAGTGAAACCATTCACTGATATACCTAATCTTCACATTATAATATGCTTTACACTTTATTTGCATTTGTAAAACAAACTTTTTGCAAAATGCTATACACAGTTGTCTACATTAGACGCATCATGCACAACTAACAGCTTTGGTGTTGCATGTAGAAAACACTGCCATTTAAACTGCCACAATAATTTCCTACACCCAACGATCATGAAACACTTCTACATAAATATAACAAAAACACACATTTCGACATCAACAAAACAAGGACAATTTCTTTACATTATACAATTTACTGACATGCTGGTATTTAATTCCTTTTGACCATAGAAATACATTCATTTTTTTATTGAGGTGAAAGTGTGTTGTCATTGCACAGTGGGCAGAGCACATGCTGATGGCTTGACACTGTCTTGCCCGCTCTCTGCTGTCCTATTCTGTCTACAAATAGTTGAGGAAATGCAAAGTTCTTAAAACTTTTAGAAGTACTTATGAAAAACTGTTGAGGTTTGTTGGCAGAACAGGTTGCTTGCAAGATCACACAGAGACAAAAGCATTATGCGGACATATTGTTCATTTTTTCATTTCTCCCAGCAGAGAAATTTAATTTATTGGCTCTTGATTTGCTTTCTGTCTTTTTCATGTTTAAGGGCATTGATTAACAGGTTTGCTGTTTCTTGCATTCCTCTTTGTCACTCTCATGATCTTTTTTTGCATAAGCTGATGGATATTTCTTATAGGTGTGTCTCATTCTTAAGCTGTGCTAAACAATGAAAGCTATTTTAGCTATCCTGCTCCATTCCCACAATCAATGGCTCATCAAGTGTTAAGGTCCACCCGATACTGGAATGAAACTTCATAAACCAACAAACCAAGGTTTTCTTGTTTTTTTTTTTGTTGGACTTTTTCTGTTGCATTAGATTTATTTTAGCTAACCCTTCTGCATTAATTTACACATCTGCAAGGGTGTTCTGCAAGTGATACTGCAAAATTCACTCATGTGAATGGAATGATTATAGGTTTTAGCCACACACTGCATAATGCATATAGTGGGATCCAAACGTTTTTGATTCAGTTTTAGAGCTGAATCTGATCCTTTTTTTAATATAATGAAAGTTTTAAATATTTAAACTTATAAAATAAGCCATTTTAGGGTTAAAACTAAACAATGAAAATGCAATTTTTGTTCTAATCTGCACTATTTCTTGTTTACAATTTAAATGTTAGCAAATTTGTGACTGACCATGCAAACTTCTTTGTACAAAATCTCAGATTTAAATATATATATATATATATATATAAATCTTAAGATGTTATTTGGATCATTCTCAAGTCATTCTGGATAACATCATGTTTATTAAACATGAATATGGCTAGTGGTGTGGGTTTACTTTATAGACTTAAGGTAAAGTTAAATTGAACAGTCCTTGTACATACTTATGTGTATGAGGTCATTGTGTTTTCAACACAAGACTCCTGCTGCAAGCTTGCCAGAGCTGTTTGTGCATGTGTGTGTGTGGTCCAGGTATTTCATATGTTGTGGGGACCAAATGTTCCAAGGTCACCGTGATTTTGCCAAGTAAGACATGGTCCTGGATCAACATATTTGCATACATATCAATATTTCTGTCCCAAAATGTAGTCCTTACCCAATCCCTACCCCTAAACCTAACCCCATAACTTTTCCTTAAAATCATATGGTAATGATAGGTGAATAACACTGATGTTCAAGTCAGTTGTACTTCCCTCTGGTTCTAAGCATAAACTTGACATAAACTGTAAATGTCCCAATTGAACTGAGGCCTAAGCCCTGTCTGTGAAACCAGGCCAGAATGATTTCCAAATAAGGATGCACCGATATGAGCAATATGGCCAATACGATAACCGATAATTCTTTATATTTGAAT